TGATATATAACTCATTGATTACTGAGAAAGAGAAACATGAGTTGAAAACGGGTTTTAGAAGTAAGCAACCCATAGGGAAAGGGAATAGACTAGCAAAATTCTGATAGAGAATAAATGGGAAAGTAAAGCTTATTATTAATCTCTAGAGAAATCTAGAGACAATATGATGGTACAGTAGTAGTTACCTTGATGATACCATGACATTTCTGTTCATGTTTATTAAAGATAATAAAACAATGGGTTGTTTTTTTAATGAGTTATTAAATATTGAATAAAATAGAAATAGATGATAATTAGATTTATATGGAAATTGTGCTAATCTGGGCTGATCTTTTGCTGGCCGAGGTAAAATTTTCCCCCTCCTAAATTAGTATTGAAACAAATTGGATTGGCAGTTGAATTTCACATCAATACTGGTGATGGGATAATGTCATTTGTCAGAACTAAAAGGTAGCAGGCTATTTTTACAGGTATCAATCAACAGACAGGTTGTATGGCACATATAGCTCTGTCTTCCTATTGGTAATAAGGACCATTGGGTTTGAGGAAGAATGCTCAGGGAACCTTCTTGCACCTATCCTCTTTATGGAATTGCCTCACTCTACTTCATCTTCCTCTGTACTGCCAGTTACGTTAAGAAAGAAAGAAAGAAAGAAAGAAAGAAAGAAAGAAAGAAAGAAAGAAAGAAAGAAGGTGGTATTGTTTGGATTATTTTATTAAGACTTTAGGTTTGATGTACAAAATATTTGTAAAATTTCATTAAAAACTAAAATGTTCTTTTAAAAGTTCCTTATCTTTTATTTTAGGTTTGCCAAAGTAATGTCTGGTTTTTAGCTATACCAGAAGTTTTCTTGGCCATCATTTTTCTCTAGACCAAGTGATGACAATGGCTGCATAAATTGGATGTAAGAAGAACACTTAGGGTTTATTTAAAAAAAAATCAAAGATGTCAGATCTTCTGACAGATTGTTTGTAGTCTTAGGAGGTCTTAAGAGGGGTCAAATAACTTCTAAGATTTCCATAGCTGGATGATTATGGAACTGTATTAGGGAGGTGTACATAGTTAAAGCTAAAGTGGCTCCCAGGGTCTGTAAAGCTCATTACACTAGGACTGTAGCTGCTGCTTGGGCGGAGAGGTCGAAGGCTTCCATGTTGGAAATCTACAAGGTGACCACCTGGGCTTCTCTTCATATGTTTTCATAGTATTATCACTTGGATGTAACCTCTTCTAAGATTCTCTTTTGGTAGGAAGTTGCTTGTGAACCAGAAAGAGAGAGAGAGAACTGTGAAGAAAAGAGAGACACTTAGTATACACTATTTCGAGCTGCCATTAGGACAGGTTCTTTGACAGTTTGCACAGTGGAAACCTGTGAAAGCCAATTTAGATAGATGAAAATAAAAGTTACAGCTCAAGAAAGTCCCAGCCACTGTAATCCCATGGCAAACAATAGCATTATGAGACATAGTAGGAAAAAAATAACACTATCAGAATATATATGAAGTCACATATTTTTTATTTTTATTGAAAAAAATTATAAATTTATTTGGTAAAATTCTATAATTTAGAAATTAATCTATTTTGATTCTACTGCTATAAAATTTAATTTAAAAGAATAATATTTAGAAAATTATTTAATTTCAGGATGTTTATTTGACTTCTATATTTATTTTATATTTCTGGAGTACTTTTCACTACAGGCTGCATTCATGCGAAGTATCAAGTATGAAACTCATAAAAATATGAACAACATTCATAATAAAAAGCAACAAGAGTAATTGAAAAATGTGATCAGTTATATAAACATGAATATGATTGATTAGATGAATCAATGAACCTCAGAAAACAATAAATGTTTCTGAAATGCTAAGCTAGCTGATTAAATTAACAAAAAAGTGAAAATAATTCCTTCACCATGAATCACTTCATCACTCAGACAATTTTGCATTTGTCATTTTGGGCAAAGATTTGGGACATTTTTCTAAGAAAGGAAGGGTGTACCTTGATTTCCTAACTCTGCTTTCCTAAAACCAGCAGATAATGGAAGAAAATATGACTGGTAGATTAGTTTTGCTCACCATTGAGAAGAATGCTTCTTTTATTTGCTGGTCCATTCCTGCTTTGTCCTCCTAAATTTACATTACAATTAAATTATTGGAATATTCCACTGTGCCTAGTACAATCATTATAACTGGAGATATGATCCCTTGAAAGAACCTGGAACATTTAGTAGTGGTCATGAATAAAGCAGAACATCTGTATTAAAAATGAGGAATGTTTGACTGAATTATGTTTTTCTTCCCTTCTAGTATGCTTTCTCATTCCTCTGATATTTCAGAAATCTCTTGTTGAGATTTTCAAAAACATCTAACATACTTTTCATCTTCCTCTCACCTTTTTTCCCCATTTGTTTGAGAAAGGTGAACTTTAGACAGATCTGATAATGACACCAAAAATAGCTTTTTCCAATGGAGTTCTTTGAAACCACCCTGGGCAAACTTCTCAAAATAAATTTTCAGGCTTTGCTTCAGGAAACTAGAAAGATTTGCAGAGGTCTTTCCTTTGCAGATTAAGAAGAAATCTGTTACTTCACATAAATAAAATCACTTATTAAAATGATGCAATTAGATGTATTAATTGCTTTATACTTCTGAAGCCAGTTTAACATTTAGATTCTCTGTGGATCCTAAAACAATAGCAGATCTTAAAGATCATTTTTAGGAAATATGATACTATAAGAATAAATGTTTACTCAGAACACAGCAGTCAGACATTGTTTAATAGGCTTGCTAGAATTTTTCTGCATAACCAAACCATAGGAAAGCATATAGGTTTATAATCAGGTGATCCTTTTGATGATATAATTTATGTATATATACATGTTTTAAATGCATATAGTAATGATTCAATGGATTTTGCTGTTAAATTATCTTCAATAGATTGATCATGCCATTACGAGTTCAAGTGGATTTTGGGGAATTGTATCTTTTAAGCAGGGTTTCAAATCCTTCAAATTTTCTGTATTTTTTAAATTTAATATGTCAGTTGGATCTAGTTTCCTTTAAAAGTAAAAAAAAAATGTGTTGGCTGAATTTTATTATAATTGTGTATTTGAAGAACTAATGTAATTAGTGTAAATGAGGGAATGATTTAAAGTAGAACAAATCCCTTCTAAAGTTAAATGGACATATCTAAAAAGAAGACAACAATTATTCTAGAGTAAGTAAGTAATGTAAATATCTGATGACAAAAGATATGCTACTTTTATATATGAAGAAGATGTATCTTACATTTTTAAAGAAGTCTGAGAAAACTTTCCAGATTTTTCTGGGTTAGATATATACACACACACATACATACAGATCTGGTTTTTTGTAAATGTTGTGAATTGTATTTACTGTTTGAAAAATTAAACAGTAGACCTGGATGACAATCTTGTAAGCAGTAATGAGTATGAATACTAGTTTTAGTGAGTCATATAGTCAATCCTCCATTAATTTCACAGCTGTTCAGGTAGAAGTGAAACTGTTTTTCTATTCCCAAGCCTATTATTGCATATAATATATAATTTTTCCACACATATTGTAGGGGTTTTTATTGTTATTAATAATTAATAATCATTGATGTTATTAATAATGATCAATACTGTTATGAAATTCTGTACAAATGAAAACTCAAAACTGGGACAGATGGTATATGGGTGGCTGGGTAGATGCATAAGTGTTGCATAAAACCTTTATCTTATAACTTCTTATACTTCCTGAATGCTCATTTTCTTTCTTATTTCTAAATACCACATTCATCATTTTTTATTGTGGAAGAAATTATGAGTTAGATGCTCAATAATGATAAAGACAGTGATTGGAAGATTAAACATGTAGTTACAAACCCTGGTTATTTTCAGGGGAATAGAATCATTTGTTGTGAGTTTCTATGGAAAAAATTATTTCAGTTCAGTATGGTTGCCTTTTATGTTCTTTACCCAATGTGGGAATCTTTTTTAAGTTGGCAGATGCATTTCTTCAGGAAAAGGTATTTTGTATAATTAGTTCATGGGGCTGGAGAGCTGACATTCCTATTCATTTTTTTCCTGCTCTCTTTTCTACATTTGTCCTCTCCTTTACTCTTTCTTCATTTCTGTCCCTGCTGAAAATCTTGAATTAGATTGGTGGTGTGGTGGGGAGGGAAGAACACTTTTCATTTGTGCAAATTCTATAGAGAATTTATATTGTGTGGGTGGAGGGGAGGGAACTTCACTACCAATATCTTCCCAGACACCAATAGAATCTCCTATTGAAGAGGTTTTGGGTACACTCAAGATCTGTTTGAAAGCTTATTTAGTATGACTCCTGGTTCTGCTGCCCCTGAATGTTCAGTAAGCATCCATATCATGCCACTTGTGTTTGCTATGGATTGCTTGGTAGATGGATGAGGATCTTGCAAAATCCATAGATAAATAAGCTATAGCAGGAACATAGATAAATAATATCAGAAACAACAACAGAAAAGGAGAATCACATTCTAAAAAGTTACTAGTTATTTCCTTTGGACATCTGGGCATGAACTAGGAAAGGGAATGCTAGGATGAAACCCATGCTTTGTGGGAGAAACAATTCCCAACACTCATCTTTTTCATTTCCACAGGTTCCAGAATATGGCTGAGAAAGGTTGTGCAACACAAGCCATTTGCTATTCTGGAACCCTCATCCAGGCTGCCAGCTAAATTGGTGTAACTATCAATCTTAATAGAGTTAGTCTCAAACATCTAGGATTGGCAGAAGATCCATTTTGCATCTCTAGCAATCCCTGGTAACAGTGCCTTCTCTCTTTTTAGTATTTCTTTTCCTGATAGCTTTCAATTTGAAAATATCTTTATAGATCATATTGACATATCAGAAAGTATTGTAGGCTAGTAGTTTTTTCACAAGATTAATCTTAATTTTTATCCTATTTGTTATATTGTGCAGGAGTTCTGAAAAAAGCTTGTGGGGAGGTTTTAACAGGGGAAAGTAGAACAAATGAATCCAGTGAGTTTCCTGAACATATTCTTCAGATAAAAAAGGTATGTAAAATAAAAATTAAAAATTCCTTAACTCTGATAGTTTTCCTCTGTGCACATCACCGTAGAATATTAACATATTCATTACAAAACACTGGTATCTAGGTATTAATATCAGCACAATAATTAATTTAATGTAAGGCTGGAATGAGAATACAAATTTTGAGAATATAAAACAGTTTGCTGAACCATTTTGTAGCATCACTATAACATTCAGAAATATCGCTCCTATGTTTTTGTTAATTTTTAAGAAATTTCCATAAATATTTTGAAAAATATGTATATAGAAACCCAAGGCTTTTTTGCCTAAGCTTGTTACTTTGTTAATTTGTGGTAGTTATTTCCTACATGCCTAGTTAATACCAATGCACAGCTTACTGTCCTACATATAAAAGATACTTTTATCTATTTCTTGTGGTTGGCAAGAAAACAACTTTTGGTATTAGTGCTACCACTATGTGGAGCTAGTGGGAAAGGGGGATTGTTTGCTAAGCTCGTTTTGAGCAGTAAAAGCATTGGGATAAGTAATGTGCCGCCCCTCAATTCTATACACCATATTTTGGGCCCTAGGGATGCTGGTGGAATATGATTGACAACCATACTTTATCAGATTTGTCATACTGAAAAAAGTATTAAGTAAATTTCAACAACTTTAATATATTTTGAATGATTATAAAAACAATAGTAAGCTCATCAACAACTGATTCATATAGCCTAGTCTATAGATAAACAAGATTTTAGATCTTTAAAGACAAAGATTTGAAGCTTGTCATATATCCAAAGTAATTTGTGCTTGTTATGGTATTTGATTATTTGATATTTGTTATAGTATGTGATACTTGTTATAGCATCAAATGGATTGAGATTTGATAAAAACAATCTTTTACTATTATCAAAATTAATTTCATGGCTGAGATCCAAAGAATTAAGGGCACTCAAATGTGTTTTCTTTGAATGACAGACTGCTATGCTAATTATAATGTGCTGTTGAAAGTCTCACCCTTTTAAAATTATTTGGCTATTTCAGAAACAAATCTCAAAACTAGCTGTAGTAATCTGAATCTCAACCAATATCATTTATTGATTTTAATTTATAGCCCTCCTATCTTGATTGTTTAATAACTATTCATATATCTATAGTTTAGTTGATATAATCTATGTACGCACTGCAGCAGTCTCCGTCTTCAGCTTTAACTTTGTTCAACATCAGTCTCATAGAGACTGTTCTTGGCTTATACATTAGAAAACTCCTTAGTCCAGGACCAAGTTAACTAGATAAGGTCCAGCTTAATTTGGATGAAAACAACTAGATGACAATGGCTAAAATACATTACAGCTGAAGCAGCTCATAATCAATGTGAACTATCAGCAAAACAATTTTACTGCTTGCAGTAAAATGTGTAAGAAAAATAATTAAATCCAGGAGTCAATTATAATATCAAAAGATACTGTATTGAAAGCAACTAGCTTTCTAAACTTTTGTATTCCAAAGGGAATGCATTAAAAAATTCTAGCAATTACAGAAAGTACTCTGATTAATCCAATCATTATCCTTTCTTTTTCAAAAGTTCCTTGAGATGGGTGTGGCCATTGGATATTAAAGCATGTCTATGATGTGGGATAAATTGAAAGCATAAAATAATTAAAATAATTTTTTGTCACATTATATTTTAAGTTTCCAAATTAACTCTGACTTTTCCTTTCCTCCTCTAAGCCAGGCCCAAAATGCATCTGAAAGATGTTGAGGCTTGAGCTCTGACAAGGTTCCAGGAATAAGTTTTGTTGTGGGTAGGGAGAATACAAAAGTAGCTGCCTATTTTTTCTTGCTGTCCCCCATTCCTTTCACTGCAGATAATCCAGATAGAAGTTTAAAGCTGTCATAGATAGTTGAAACTACAATATTTGTATGTTAAATATTTATTGTATACATTTATATTTCAGCCTACCATGCTAGAGTTTGGATGGAGAAATGGTTTTAAAGACCTGTCCTCTTCAGTAGCACAAAGTATAATAATTGCAGTTGAAGATTTTTCCAGTAAAATTCTTGAACATGAACAAAATGAACAGTCTTCAGCTACCTATTATATGATGTGTGTTGCAAATGTACAAAACATGAATGAATCCTGGAGTGTTGTCCATGATAAAGAGCAACCAAAGCAAATTTCAAAGGCATGTATCCAAAAATGTGAAAGTTTGAAGATCTATAGGATGTCATATTTATTGGAAGTACCTGCAAAATCAATAACACTCATAAAATCCATAATTGGGCTTGATTATATAACAGTGAATTAGAGTTATAAGATGTAAGCAACTTTGAGGACTGTACTATGAATCTACTTGGTCATTACCATAGATTCTGCTTGGAGTGGAGTGAATTAAGATTTAAAAGATATACCATATTTACCCAGTAGATTCCCCCTTCCCAAATAAATACCTGTAAATTGAAGGGTGTAATTTACAATGACTGAGAACAGAAGAGCTGGTGGAGGTGCAAATGACTGTAGAATTGCTGCTGAAAAGCTGGATACCTTTGAAGGTTATCCCTGTCTTGATAGAGGCTGCTTGCCTATTGAATTTAACCCTTTTCTAGAACTTCTTTCTCTTTTATTTCCTTTAGTGTCTAGTTACCTTTCTCCTTTGTCTCTTTCTTTTCCTTTCTCTTCCCAGTCAGCTATTGCTTCTTCTTATCCTATAGCCATGTTTTTTCTTCTGCTGCTGTTGGAAGGAGGAAGAGCAATGAGTCTGAAACTAGTTTGTGAATAAAAGGGAAAATGATTGATATATACAAATGAAATTAATTTTAGTTAGTAATTGTTAATTCAATTAATAAACATTTATTATTTTGCTCTCCCCCTCACCTTTTAGAATATAGATTCTGGTGTGTATGTATATACATGTACATACATGTATATGTCATATGTATATACTCATTGGGGAGGGGAAATCTCTAGTATTGGTTTCAGGTGGAGTTGTCAGTCTTTTTTGACAAGTGTGGAGAAGCTGGCTATTGCATGGGGTTTTTGTCTGAATTTATATATATATTTTCCCTATCAACTCTTTCTTTGGCAGAGGGACTTACTTAAATATGGATTGTCTTCCTATTTAATAAACTTGGAATACTGTCTATCTGAATATTATTAGTGTTTGTTCAGTAATTGCTTAGAAACTAATGTATACAACTGGAGATCCCGAATTTTCCCTTAAAAAATGCCACAGGTGACATGACCTTTAATCTTGAATTCTTCCTAGCTTTTTTTAAAAAATGTGCTTAATATCAAAGTTATATTTGCTTGCTCTTCTTGTGTTTAATATCAGAAAATGAAATGATTTCAAAATTGTTTTATATGTCAAATATACATCGAATGCACTGTATATCAGTCAACATATTTGGAATATAAATAACTGAATCCTAGCATTTCTATTTCTTAGTTTTGTTCTGACATCATGGAAGAACTTGACAAATTGCTCCCACTGGCTCTGGCATGCACAGGTGAATTTTTCCAGGAAATTAGAGCAAACTTTATAGAGGTGTGTAGCAAAGTGGCAACAGCTGTCCTGACAAGACTGGAAGAGAGAAGTAAAGATGTCCCAACAAGAGCTCCACTTCAGAACCTATATACCATTCTTTCCACGGCAGTGTATGTCTGTCAGCATTTTAAAATGTATCAAAACTTAATGAAAATGGCCTGTGGAAAGTAAGTCTCCTTTCAGTGATAACAAATAACTTGTTTCCATTATTTTTTTCTTTCAACTTCCTTTAAAATCTACTCTGTCTAGATTTTGACATACTTTGCTGCTAAAACTGAGGGCTGATATTTAAATGTGAAGAGCCCTTTACAATGTACATATTTGGGGGATATTCGAAGGACCTCCTCTCCCCAGTTACACCTACCCATCCCATCAGATCCGGCAGGAAAGGCATGTTACTACTAAGGAATGTCATCTGATGGGACCCAGGAAGAGAGCCTTTTCGGCTGTGGTGCCTGCCATCATTTCCCTGGAACCTAGATTGGCACCCACCCTTCTGGCCTTTAGGAAGGGCCTGAAAACCTGGTTGTACCATCATACCTGGGGGTCCAACAGTAGTGGTGAGCCTTGGCAATGGCTTTATTAAATGGATGTATGGTTTATATTCACCAGCTCACTGTGTCTCTGTTTTATGTGTTACTAAATTCTAATCATGGTTTTAGGGTAATTCTATGCTGTAGAGTTTGTTTATATTTTTACTGTTTCTGTTGTTTTATTTGCTGTGAGTTGCCCAGAGTCACAGTTGTGAGATGGGTGGCTATATAAATTTGATAAATAAATAAGTAAATAAGTAAACTTGTACCCAAGAAAACTAGTCATTTACAGTACTGTGCATAAGTTTTAGGCAGGTGTGAAAAA